GGTTTGGAGTTGAGGGTTGAGGGTTTAGGGTGTAGGGCCTGTGAGGGGAGTCTCAGCAGTCGGAACACGGGGCCTTGGTGTATATTGCAGTAGATCTACATCCACTAAACTTTCACTAAACCCTAGGTCCTAAACTCATAAACCCATATACCCTGAAACCTTAAAACCCGTTAGAGACTGGAACAGCATGTTCAGGGCTTTCGGGTGGGAACGTCGGGCGTAAGCGTGAAAGCTTGCGAGCTCTTGGCTCGCTGTTCATGGTTTCTGATGCCTTAGATTCCTAGATATTGGCATAAGCTTTACGGTGAGGTTTAGGGTTTATGGGTTGGTGGATTTAGAGTTGAGAGTTTAGGGGTGTATGGATTTATGGGTTTAGGGTTCAGGAGTTGGGTTTAGTCAAGTTCCGGGGGGTCGTTGCAGCTCCGGTCTTTATTCAGAGAGTTGGCTTGAGTACTGCGTTGAGCAAGGTCTGAGAATCTGACTGCTGCTGGCGGTGATGATGAACATCATGGTGACGATGGTAAAGACGTCAATACTGATGATGAGTATGCTGTTTTTGTTGATGATGATGATGATGATGATGATGATCACGATGATGATGATGATGATGATGATGATGATGATCATGATGATGATAAAGGCTGCGATGACGTTATGCATAAATGTGTCGATCACGGCGCGAACAAATGTCCCAACAATAAGGCGTCACCAAGACTCAAGCCTAGAGTCCCTAGACCAAAGAAGTCCAACCCCAAACAGCAGAAGGCTAAAGACCCGAAACCCCAGACCCTAAACCCTAAAGACCACCAACAGGGAGAGTTTTTTGCAGAGCCCACATGGAACCCTCTTAGAACGCTTCTTTGCACACCCAAAGCCTGCGACCCTGCCCCCTCCTTCTCCAAGGCGCTCAGGGCGGCATTCAGGGTCCGCGTGTCTGGCTCCAGCCGCCGCGCAGACAGGGCATGGGAGTTGCAGACGGCAGCCCTGAGGTTGCTCTAAAGGGCCTTACAGGGGCCTTAATAACTAGAATAGGGTTTTGGGGTATCTTGTACCTAGTACTATAGGGGCCTTAATAGTTAGAATAGGGTTTTGGGGGTATCTNNTACTATGATTATGATAAGGAGCCCCCTAAAGTAGAGTTGGCCTCTACATTAAGGGTGCTTTAGAGCCTAGGCGCCTTATCAAAGAAATACGAAGTTTGAGGCCGGGAAGAGAATTGGAGGCTGCCAGTTCTTCGAGCTCCCATCCTAGAAACCCTAAACCCTAAAC